AACACCATGTACGTTTGAAACTTTTAGAACGATGGAACAAAGTGATGAAGATACTGATGAAGAATTAAATTTAGAAGAAACTGATGATGAATCAACAATCGAAGAATAGTTTTTGGTGGACAATATTTTTTTAAAATTTTTTTAATGTTGAATATTACTTATAGAACTACAGATTTTAATAATATCAGCATATATTATTTGTCTTATTTCTTGTTGAACATTTTATTTCTTGTGTCATTTCGTGCATTGCTTATTTACTACATGAACTCGCTATTATCTTATTTTTATCATGTCAATTGTTTCATGCCGTTGTTTTTTTTTATTATACTTCAAAAACTATTTATGTTACGAATTTATACTCCATAGTACAATTGGAGTTTAGCATTACTCCTTACTCATATCATCGTCCTCACATTCATTGATGTGTTGTACGTATCAATAGGGTGTGAGGATGCCACTAAACTTTAGATCTTTCAGGTAGGGTGTGGGTGTGGTGTGAATGTAGGTGTGAGTGCGTGGGTGTGAATGTGAGTGTAAGTGTGGGTGTGAGCTGTGGATGTTGATCTAGTGTGACGATAGATGATAGAAGGGATATTAGTGCTGATGGTATTACACTTTATTCTATTCCTTCATATCATACAATCGTATCGTTTGCATATAGGGTGTCCGAAAATTCACTAAAGTTCGAAAAATTTGAATATCTCCATTACGGCTCGACCAAAGAGGATCATCTTTTTATCAAGGATAGAGACATGTTCGCCCTCCAAATCCATACGGACAAAGTTATTGAGAACCTTGGTTAAGTATCACTATTGACCTCAATAAGAAAATTTTACTTTTTCGTAGGTAGAAAAAAGCAAATATACAGAATAGTGCAAGTCACTTTATCGAAAAGAGAATCGAATATCTCCATTATGACTCTAGCAAACCAGCTGATTTTGTTACCGAAGATAGAGGTATTTTGACACTCCAAATCTATGCGGACAAGGTTAGAGAGAAGCTTTGTTAAGAATATTGTTTTTTTTCCTATTTGTGAAAAAGTAAAATTTTCTTATTAAGGTCAATAGTGATATTGAGCAAAGGTTCTCAGTAACTTTGTCCATATGGATTTGGAGTGTGAACATGTCTCTATCCATGGTAAAAAATGAGTCCCTGTGGTCGAGCCGTAATGGAGATATTCAAATTTTTCTAACTTTCATGACTTTTTGGACACCCTATATAACGCACACGCTTATATAGACGAGTAGGATAAGAGATGATGAAGAGAAAGGAGATGAGGTCAAGGAGAGAACAACGTAAGAATAAAAAGGTGATGAGGCCAAGGAGAGAGTATATATAGAAGAACAATAGAGATAGGACAGCAGCGTAAGAATAGACAGGTGAGGACAATATATATAATATATAAGTGATCGATAATACAACATGAGAAGCACATTACGATAGAAAGAGAATAAGGCTTAATTATGCATAGATAGACGTAAGAGTAATGCGATTATGAACACTACGTAACATCGATTGTATAGCAACATATTGAGAAAGACAAGATATCACAGAAGATGATATGCCCATTGGCACATCTAGTACATAGCAACACTCACATTCCCACCTACACCAACATCTACACCCGCATCCAAGCCCACACCCACACCCTTTAAAACTGAATGGCAAACATTACATCCATATGCATTACCAAATGAATCATCAAGCGAATGTTTATGTGAAACATGTATTGTATATCATCATCCAATCCTTGGAATCTTCAAATATGCTGTTGCATTTCAATTACACGAGTGGTTTGACAAAAGGCTTTCCACATCATCATTTCATATTGGATTAGATATAATTCTTTTTCATATGAATGAAATTGAACAACAATATCGTAACCAATTAACTAAATACGCTGCTGATGATTGCCTTTCAATACAACGAATATTAATTAGTCTAAATATAATTCAATTAAATTATCACATTTCATCAACACGAACTTCTACAACTCCTACAACAACTACAGCAACAACAAATAAATATCACACAAATATTGAACTTGAATATACATTCGACGAAAATGATTTATTTATAATGCAACAATCTATACACGAATCAAATGCATTTATTTTTAATGATAAATCATTATCAGAAGATAATCAACGAAGTACACAACAATCAATTGAATTAACACCAACTATAGCAATCTCTAATAAAGAAACAAATAATGATCGAATAAATAAATTAGAATTAACTTCGAATACTTTTTCGGATAATAATAATGAAACAATTGATGTATTAAGTCGTGAAAAACGTAAAAGAATTCACGACCGCAGTTGTGCACTAAAACAACGAAAAAAACTTTACCAACATGAAATTGTGATGCATAATACAGATCGTTGGTTTATCATTACGAACATAAAAACAATTCTTCGACAATATTCAGTTGATTTTTTGTGCTATTAACACATAAAGTCATTACGAACAAATCTAACAACTCTATATATTGACATAAAAAACAAATAACGTTCGTCGGTTCGACTCACTTGACCATAGACTGTATCAGACAGAAGTATACAAGTCTCATCCATGGACAGCCACTTATGAAACAGCTGATTAACGGAGAACTTATCACATATGTGGGATTGACTGAATTTTCATTCTGAAAAATTGAATTGGTCGAAAATTCAATATTAAAAGCATGAGAATTGAATACTTAGCCAACATTTTTTATAATGTTTCACATTCCACTATGACAAAAAATTATTCTTTTTCATATAACCGTTCCTACACTCGAGAAAAAAATTTATTTTCTCAAAAAAAAACCTCTTTTCCTGAACCCAAAAAAAATCAATTGAAAATTTCGAGAAAGTGACTTCAGATTCGGATTCTTCGACCCCCATTGACTCTCGTCAACCTTTATAAAATATCATTATTTTCTCAAAAAACCCTTTTCTCGACACTAAAAACCCGATTCAAAATTTTAAATAAATGTGGAAACCTCGGATTTAAATCCGAGAGTTATGTGTACTTCAAAAAGTGAATGAGAATGATTCGTCATCCTAGAGTGTATGGGCATAAAAATTATCCTGGCAAACCTTTTCTATAAACAGTTGATGTTTTGGCTACTGCTCAACCACTAGGATTTACAGATGAATACAGCTCAGATTTGAACTGTTCGTCTTGATTTACCCTAGGAAAGTCGTTTTTCCGATAACTTGATTTCTATTGGTTACTGCTCAACCAATAGGATTTCGAGGCAAACGGAGCTCAGATTGGAGTTCTCTGACCCAAAAAACCTCGAACTGTCATCTCTATGATCGAAAGACAGAGTTCTAATTGTCGATCAATTAGAGTGTGAACACAAACAGAACCAATTGCCGTTTAATTACCCTTGCAATAGATGAGTTATATTTCTTTATGTTTTATGTACTATTTTGTAGCTCGTGAAATTCTCTATCGAACGGCGTATAATAGTTGGAGTTTCATTTGACTATGATAGGGAAAGTGTTTTACGAATGTGAAGATAGGTCGATTTTCCTATAGGAAGCCATAGGGAAAAATGAGTATTTTTGCAATAACTCAGGAACGGCTCCCCCAATCCTTCTCATCTTCGAACTCGACGGAGATATTGTTGAGACTGAAATGTGTGGAAAATTTCATCGCAATCGAGCTCTCTTTTCAAAAGTTATCGTGTAAACGGCCAGACATACTGACCGATTCTAGAGTATACTCACTTTTTGAGTACACAAAAACGGAGTCAATTTATATATATTGTGAATAATTATGAGCAAAATATTTTTTCTGAAAAAATCCCTGTACCCTCCTCAAGGATGGTCTGTTCAATAATGACAATTTTTTCGATAACTCAGCCATTTCTTGACGGATCCTTCTCATTTTCGAACTCGACCGAGATATTGATGAGACAATTCTTTGCACAAAATTGCAGCTCAATCGAATGTAATTGTGAAGAGTTATCGTGTCAACGGACGGACACACTGACCGATTCTAGAGTGTACTTACGTTTTGCGTACGCAAAAAAGTGAATCATACGAATCAGTCATCCCAGAATGTGTGAACATCAAAATTATACTGGGGAACCTACCATTTAAAATGTTGATTTCTATTGCGTATTTCCAAACTGATAGGACTTGGGACCGAATGGAGCTCAAATTTGACCTCTTTCCCTTGATTTACACTAAGAACATCGTTTTTCCTATAACTTGATTTCTATTGGTCACTGTTTAACCAATAGTATTTCGATGGAAGTGGAGTACAGATTAGAATTCCCCACCCCAGAAAATCTCGAAGCATTGTCATTGTGATCGGAAGATAGAGCTCTAAACGTGGATCAATTAAATCGTGCACAAAAATATAACCTAGTTCTCTTTAATTATCTTTGTGATAGATGAGTCAACCTTCTGGTTTCATTATGTTTTATATACCATTTTGTAGCTCTTGAAATTCTCTATCGAATGGTATATAATAGTGGGGCTTTTAGTTGACTATGATAGGAAAAGTTGTTTACAAAAGCGGGAATGGCTCAATCTTTCCATAGGGAGGGTATAGGCAAAAAAGAGTATTTTTGCAATAACTCAGGAAGGGCTCGGCCAATCCTTCTCATCTTTGAACTCGACCGAGATATTCTAAATGCTGAACTATGTAGAAAATTTCATGGCGATCTGACTCTCCTTTCAAAAGTCATCGTGTAAACGGACGGACGGACACACTGACCGATTCTAGAGTGTACTCCCTTTTTGAGGACGCAAAAACTGACTTCAGATTCGGATTCCCCGACCCCGCTTTACTATCGTCAACCTTTATAAAATATCATTATTTTCTCAAAAAATCCTTTTCTTGACCCTAAAAACGCGATTCAAAATTTTTAGAAACTGACTTCAAATTCGGATTCCGCGACCCCGATTTACTTTTGTCAACCTTTAGAAGGGTGTGAGTGTGGGTGTGGGTGTGGGTGGGTGTGGGTGTGTGTGTGGATGGGTGTGGGTGTGGGTGTG